TATAAAAGGGGGGAACTGAGGCTCAAAAGGCACAGGAACTTGCTGGAGTCTACTCTGTGGAGTGACAGAAGCCAAGCTGGGGCCCACGTCTCCAAGCCCAACACAAGGCTCTAAGCAGCTCATGGATCCTCCATTCAGGAACTCCAAATCACATGGGATAGGGAGTTTGGGGGGTGAACGGCCCCATGCTGTGCTGGGCTGGGCAGTGTTACAGTGGGGTCACCACAACCACAAGGCAGAGTAAGGCACCCACACACCTCCAGCCTGGGACAAGCCATTGCTTTCCTCGGCTGACTGATCTCGCGTGCAGGCAGATCAAGCATGAGGGTATGTTCACCCACACACGCATGCTGGTTCTCAGCCCCAGGCGACTTCTCAGCCTCTGCAACAGCACTGCAGAGTCCTGTGGTGCTGGAGTTAGTCATCACTACCCTACAGAAGCTGCCATGTGATGGGGTCAGTAAGTACAGACTGTGGCTCAGACTCCTACCTTCCTCTGGGCAATCCCCTGCTGAACACCGCAAGTAGCAATCCCACAGCTTCCCCAGAAGGCCCATCTTTGGCACATGGGCACCACGTCCTCTTCTAACCCCAGACTCCGCTGCCACTGTATCCACTGTGGCACCCACAGGCACAGACCGCAAGTGAACCTTGCACTTTGTGAATGCCCCTGGGGTCTGAAACACAACAGGGAGGAGGGAATCCCTAAACTGTGGTACCAAGACAGGTGGAAAGACTGTGCCAAGCCTGTGATGGCAGAGACAGGAGGGCTCCTGGCCCCTCTGCAGACGAAGCAACTACACTGGGACCCTCCTATATACCCTTGGCCAATCTCCCCCTATGCACCACTGCCGGTAGGAATACAAGTGACTCCAGTGAGGGGGTGTTACACAGAGTGTGTCTTGTACAGGGACCTGGGTAACTGCTTTTGAAGAATGAAAGCAGGGGTGCTGGGGGACCCCACACAGCCAAAAGGCCTCCACTGCATCCTCCCTTGCCTGACCCCCACGAACTTTGGGACTGGACACGTGCCCCATCTGGGGCTTGGCAGGAAAATGTCCTTGGTTCCAAAACCACCAGGGCCTCTGCCAAGGAGGGGACCATTGCCACAACTTTGAGACCTGTTCCTGTTCTCCCTGTGGGGGAGCAGGTGTTTGCAAGCAAGGGTGGTAGATGGCAAGGAGGTGTCTCCTGCTGCAGCTGCCAGCACTGTCCCTGCTATGATCAGGCCCCCTGGAGCTGCTGACCTCGGCCTACCCGTCTCCCTCCTCCTCACCACTACCCATGGGGCCCACAGCCAGCAGCACCAAGGTATACCTGGAAACACCCCCTAACCCTCTCCACATGGGTCCAAAGGCAGCTATGGATTCTCCATAGCCAACTCCAGGACCAAGGCGCCTGCTGCTCCCACAGGGGGTGCCAGCACCTGTCCCTGCAGCAGCACAGCCCCAAGGTGCCTCTAGCCAGGCAGCCAGGACACCAGAAACTAGAGGCCAGCTAGCTGGAGGAGTCCACCTTGAGTTCTTGTGGCACTCCCGGTCAGCCACGACCAAGGTTACCCAACACCTGGCTGGCATGGGGGACCTGGGCACCTCACTCTAGAGCCAGTGAGGGTGGGAGATGAGACATAGGGCCAAGACTGTAAGAGCTTTAACCAGTCCAGTACCAGCTGCACACAGCAAAAACACCCTCCCAGAAAATCCCCCAAACCAGCCTTTGAACAAGCCGCCCCCCAGCAGGGCCTGGTGTTTATTGGATCAAACTAATTTGTTTAGCTCTAGCATCCCCCATCACTTCACGTGCTGCCAAGACATCTTCTCACACCAACAGCTGCTTCCCATCTCCTCATCCAGCCCAACCAGGCTGCCAGGCTGTGCACTTATGAGTCGGGGCTGCCCAAAACAGCATGGGGCCTCACAAAGGAGAAATCCCCACTCCCCCCCTTCTAACTTACATGTTATTCTATTGTCAGTCACTACAACCCCACAGCTGCCTCTGGCTCCCACAGGCAGGCTTGGTCCTGCCAGCCAGCCTCACCACCTGGGCAACCCCCACAACCTCTCCCAGGCTGGGGCTGACAGAGTGTACCCCTGTAAGAGCCCCCCCCCAGCAATGCCTGGAGGAACTCACCATGCCCCCACAAAAGCATACAATTGGCATT